GCCCTGCGGCGCGACCTGCCGCCGCGACTGGCTGCCGGCGCCGCGGGACCCCTTGCGCCGGGAGCTGCGCGGGTCGCCGCCGGCGCCGCCGCCGCCATCCTCGCCGTCGTCGCCCACGGCCTTGCCGCCGCCGCGGCCGTCCTCAGGGTCTCCACCCCCGCCGCCGCCGCCACCGCCGCCGTTGCCCCCGCGCCGCCGCCGCCGCGCCTTCAACGCGGCCCAGTAATCTTTGCGCGCCATCACAAACTGGGCTGTCAGGTTGGCGTGCAGCGTGCAGCAGCCAAAATAGATGAGGATCAGGCCGCCCAGGGCGACGCCCGCCTCCTGCGAGGGTGGGCAGCGGGCGGAGGAGCACGTGCAGCGGCAGCCAAGGGGGGCGCCCAAGTGAGCTGGAAGGATCTCGGCAAGATGGAACGCCCAAGCATTCGCAGCTGGCGCTGGCCATATGTATGTGGTGAGGCCACCGCTGCAAGCGGGGTCATTGACAGGTGCAGCGCTCGCAGCAATCGGCCGTGCGGACAAGCCGCGCAGGGGACGAGGTTTGCGCCCCGCCTGCCGCTCACCGTTGAGATGGCCGCGCTGGTCCTCTCCATGGTCTGCAGCTTCTCCTGGTCGCATATGCAGTTGTACGGCAGCTTGAAGAGCGTCGCAAACGACCCCAGGTTGAGGCAGCTGTAGGGGCACAGCACCGTGCTGTGCAGCGCCGTGCCGTTGGGCCGCAGCATGCTGGTGACGCTGCCGTTGAGGGCCCGCAGCCACGTCGAGTTGCTGACGCACTTTGGGGCGCGCTGCATCTGGCCCTCGTACACGGTCACGGCTGTCGTGAGGTTGCTCCTGGCCGTGGCCAGCTGCGCCAGCGGGGATGTGTTGAGGCTAGCCGCGTCCCTGCGAGCGGGGCAAGCGCGCGGGGGCGGCGATGCTTAAGCAAAACGCCACCATGGCGACGCCGCCGAGGCAACGGCTCTTCCCACCACGCTCGCAGTCGCGCAGCTGCGCCTGGCACCGGTCCCGCCTTCCGCAGGCGCGCAGCGGCACGGGCCAAACCCCACCTGACGCCGTATCTGATGGCCTGGTTGGCGGCGTAGGCGACCGCAAGCCACAGGAACGCCCCCATCAGCAGGAACACTATCGCAAGGTTGACCAGAAACACGATGGTGTTGAAGCCCAGGTTGAACGTGCTGTACAGGTAGAAACTGCCCGGCGTCGGGTGCGCTGTTGGGAGGAGGGAGGGGAGGGGAGGTTTGCGTCAAGGCAGGGGCGCGCCGGTCATGGGCGCCCTGGGCAGGGTAAGCCGCAGCTACACAACGTGATGCCGGGCTGCTGTGTGGCTGACCATCGGCTGAACAAGCCTGGCTGTCGCCAACCCTTTCCACACATGGCCGCAGCGCTGGGGTGCGCCCGCGCCGCGCAGCCGGCACGGCTGCCCCTGCCGGCCCATGCAGGGCCCGAACGGCGACCGCCCTGCCGCACCCCTAAGAGCCGCCCGCTCACAGCAGGGGCAGCAGGATTTGGTCTTCACTCCGCTCGTCTGCGCGCTGCGTGCGCACGCCAGGATGAACGCGCCCGCAAAAATCAGCGAGCAGCCCGCGACCAGCGTGATGAGCGTCGTCATCACCGCGTTAGTCGCGGCGTCGAGCGTCGACGACGACACTGGCGCCACTGAATTAAAGAATTGGACGGTGTCATCCTTGGTGCGCACTGAGAAAATGGCCCACAGAACGATGCCCGGCACAAAGAGGCAGCACGCTGTGAGTGCGCCAAGCGGCAGGTGCGACGCCCAGCGCCACACGCCCCTGCAAGCACAGCCATGGCAATGGCCAGATGGTGGTGGATTAGAGCGGTGTTCGTCTAGGCCGGGCCTAATGCGCCAGCTCGGGTGCGCTAGCTGGCGAGCGCGGCGGCGCCAAACGCGGCCCCGAGCCCGGCTCGCGGCCACGGCTCACGTCAGCTCCTCCTCCTCATCCTCGCTCCAGCGCTTGTCGGAGGTCATCCTCCCCTGCCGCATGCGCACACGCGTGGGGCCCCAGCCCGCGGCTCCACCAGCTTCTTGAGGCTACACGCCAAGCCGCTGGTTTGTGAAGAATAATGTGAAACACATATTAAGCGCAGTCAGAGGGCCGCTTGGCTCGCCCGCTCTGTGCACGGGTAAAGCAGCTGTCACGAGGATGCGCAACGAAAGGCTTTGAGGGGAGATGAAATTGAAGAGGTTTTTGGGTCAACACGAATAGAAAGCGTTGCATGCGTCTGAGGTCGCAGCGCTCTGTTGTAGAGCGCATGCAACCTTCCCCTTTGTTGCACTGCCACCAGGCCAGCTCAACTGCTGCGTGACGCGCAGCACAGCCGTTCGCTGCTGTCGAAAACGTTCGGCATCATAATTGAGTTTTTATTTCGGGCTACCTCGCATCTCGTGGATGCAACACGGACAACATTGGGCCCGTGCTTGCAGCAACAGAGATCACGGCTGCTGGTTCTGCTGTTATCACGGGTATAACATTACAGGTTAGACAAGCTTGTTGATACTACAGGCCGCTCAACGCCGCCCATAGAGGGGGCCATGTCGGGCGCCGATTATTCGCGCGCGCTGGCTCGGGTGGCAGTGGCGCAGCTGGCCGAGCTCGCCGGGTTCGACGCCGCCCACGAGTCGGCGGTGGACATTCTGGGTGACCTGCTGCAGCGGTACCTCGCAAACGTGTGCGCCGGCGCGCACGACTACGCGGAGCTGGCGGGCCGGACGCACACAAACTCGCTCGACGCGCTGCTGGCGCTGGAGGACCTTGGGGTGACGCCCGACGAACTCGACGTGTTTGCAGGGCTCACGCTGCAGGTGAGTGGGGGCCGGAGGTTTAACCGTTACGGTGGCAGCCGGGAGGTTCAGGAGGTGATGCTAGCCCGAGAGCAGGAACGCGGGTGCTTGCTGCATGCGCACAGCGTGTGCGTCATGTGTCTGCCAAAACAGGTGGGCCGTGTCAGCGGCGACAGCAGCATGCGGTGCAGCGGCTTCAAGGCAGCTGCAGAGGGGAGGGTTTGCTGCACCAGCATCAGCACGGCGTGAGCAGCATCACCTGAGCAGCAGTCAACACTGGTGCGCTACACCACCGACACAGCGTCAGCAGCTGCATGCACAGCGCCACACCTGCGGCTCACAGCCAGGGCGTCAGCACCAGCGCTAGCTGCAGCATGAACGGCAGCGACTGCAGCGCAAACTATGGAAAACGCGGTTCAAAGTGCAGTGCATTTGTGATTGTGGCACGCAGGGGTCCAGCCACAAATCGGGCCAGGATGGCAGCAGCAGCTGACAAAAAGCTCACCATGTACTCATGAACACCTGCTGTTGTGGGACTTGCGCCCTCTTGTACAGCACTACCACTCACCGCCCTTGTGACTCTCCACTCGAGGTTCCCTCCGACATTGCCATCACACCACCTCCCCTCTCAAATCCCTGTTGTACCCGAAACAGGGCGGCAGTGTGCCTTTCGCCCACGTCGTGCCGCGCTACCCTGTCCAGCAGCAAGCGCCCAGCGCCCCGACATTTCAAGACCGCCACGAACCCCACCCGCAGCACATACCTGCCTTCTTGCCGGCGTTTCCCGACGCCCACACCTACCAGCACACGCCAGCTTTCCAAGGCCACGAGGCAGATGCGCAGCGGCAGCGCAAGGCAGTGTTGGCCAGCAAGCAGCAGGCGGAGGCTGCGCTCGTCAAGCTGCACCAACGGCTGATCGCCACGGCGGCGGGCGCAGCGACGCAGGGCGCGGGCACGGGGGCAGGCGGCGCCACTGGCAGCGGCCACCAGCCAGGCGCCAACCCGTTCCTGGCGCCGCCAGTGGTGGTGGGGGCGGCCGACGCGGCAGTGCTGCGGCCCGAGCTTGGGGACGTGGCATTGGGGGCTGCGGCTGACGGCGCAGATCTGGGGGCGGCTGACTTTGACACTGGCGCGGCGCAGCGCGTCTTCCGCGTAGTGCTCCCACCGGCGGACACCCCGCAGAAGCACCGGCAGCTTGATGGGCGGCAGCAAGATCAGGCGTACCCGCAGCACGGTGCCAACGGCGGCGACGCGGCGATGATGGATGTGGACGGTCCGACGGCTGGCAGCCAATGGGTGGCCTGGACGCCCGACGCCCCGGGCGGCGTTCCCATCGATGGCGCTGCGGGCGGCCTACGGCGCCAGGACCTGCTGCAGTTGCAGTGGCATGATCCAGCAAAGGCTGCGTCGGTGCTGGGAGCCGCGGCGCGGCAGCGGCCGCCCGACGCGTACCAGGAGCGCGCAGAGGCGGCAATGGCGGCAGAGGGCGCGGCGACCGGCGGCGCGCGGCAGCGCAAGTCAGCATATGGACGGGGAAACGCAGAGCTGCAGCGCGCTGACGAGTTGCTGCGTGCGGGGCATGCAGCAGCTGTGGGCGGCGTCTTTGGCGAAGATGATGAGGAATCATAGCTGCACTAGCATACTGAACGTGCATCTGGTTGTTGTAACGACGTTTAATGTGGAAAATATGAAGTTTGGTGGAATTTTTAAGGGTGAGGAGCATATACATGCTAGAGGAGTGGATGTTACTTGTGCAAAACACCGTGGAGTCGGAGGGCATCGATCCCCCTACCTCCCGCATGCTAAGCGGGCGCTCTACCATTTGAGCTACGACCCCCTTGGTGGGGCGCTTCGCACAGGATATTGCTCAAAACGTGTGAAATCTATAAAATATGTACCCAGTCGCGTCTCAGGCCTCACCCCTGCACCGTCGTGCA